GTTAATTATGGATTTTTGTTTTAGTTGTTTGTATTGGAGTTTCAGAAATGATACAGTTTCATTCTTGTTCTTAGATTTTTTTTATGTTTATCAGTTGATCAGTGCCTTTATTACGAATGAACAGGGTTAATTACAATCTCGAGTTCGTTGAATGCGTATTGGATCGGAGATTGAAAGGGATGTGCTCGCGTTGCACCGTGGTTGATCGAGTTTGAGAACCGCTGCCGCCAAGTACTTCGGCCCTTCGTGATTGGTCCGCGATTGTTTTTAGAGGTGAAAGGAGTAGAACGGAGACGATTACTGAACTTATTATACGAATGTCGGGTACTCAACCGGTAGAATGTCTGCCAGAAAAAAATTTCAACGCTCTTCAATCGTGTCATATTTCAATATCTAAAAATTGCAAAACCAGTCAACATCCAAAGTAAAACAACCGCTGTAAAACGAAACTACCCAATTAGTAACACTAATCTGCTACACCCAATCAAAACCACCTCGCCGATTCCAAGAGAAGAATCCTAAATTAACTTACCCACGGATGTACAAATCGAATCGCAGGAATATCGAACCAGCCTCGTTCCCTTTTTACACGGTCGATCGTGGTGTCCGTTGCACGGCGCAAAATTGCCTCGTCAAGCGAGTACCATTTACTCCCAATAAAATAGCGTGCCGTCTATTGTGCCCGGTAAGGTTTCATAAACGGGGAACGCAGAGGGGAAAACGCATAAAACGCGTTCGGTCGATTCGACAGCGAGAAGGGGCACCGAGGAGAGTCGGTCCGCGCTCCTCCGGTCTCTCCGGCCGATGGGAGGTAGGGAAGAATCGGGCGCCATTTTGCGAGCCGCGCAGCTTTTATCGCCGCGCCCTATATAGGAGCATTATGCCTGGGTTGCCGGGTTGCGCGTATATCAACAATAATTGCAGGGCCAATAATAAAGCCGGAGGGGCCACGCTCGATAGCCCGAAATTGCTGGTTCCCCTACCCCGGCCAACTACGTTTTATTGCCTCCACTCTCGAGAGCAGGAATGGCGGCAGCCCCCTTCATCCTTCTCGATGGCGGATAAACGATCCCTACCGATACGATGCCACCGGTAGTGACTGGCGTTCGCTAGCCTCCACGCTCCGAGCGATTTTACTAGCGTGTTTAACACGCGTCGGGAATTTTCGAATTGTTCTGTGTCACTTATTTTCTTGTGGCACAGGTAAATAATGTTAGAAAGAATAGTTGTAGTGAGTTTGGAATGATTTGTATACACACGTTTTTCTAAGGTTTCGAGGATGATAAAGTTAAATTTTTCGGTGGAAGATTAGTTAATTGAGATTAAACAACCATGAAATCAGATACTTGGATGCTGCACGCATGTCTGCTGTAACTACATGATTTGTAGAAATTTCTCCCTTCTGAGTAGTCCAATTCGAACAACAGCAGCTTATTAACAATACGATACGACGTCCTTTCCGAATCTTTATTACCGTTATCGCTTCGTCTCTGATAAACAATAATGAGACACAGAAAGTACTAATTCGTTCAAAGACAACAGATACAAAGCAACCCAAGGAAAATACCAAAAACGTAACATAACTATAAAAAAAAACCTGAATACACCAAATCAACAAAATAAAAGGGACTCCGAAAATTCTAATTGGAATCGATTGTCGTCGCTTCGAGGCCATCACTAGCCCCATCCATCTCGCGTTCGCCACGACTCCGCTCGCCGCAAGCATGGCCGAGGCTATAGTTACTATATAGTACCTTCTCTCGCTATTATTATTGCAGATACTGCTGCTGTTTCCGCCGCTTCTTCTCGTTATTATTCGAACAGCCAATCCTCATATTCGTTGTTGTTGTTGTTGTCGTCGTTGTCAGCGTCATCCTCGTTGTTGCCCAGCGTTGCTGCTGTTAGAGCGGAGCGGTTTCGTACGCGGGGAATCGTTCGCGAGCTCGTAAACAGCCGCAAAGGAGAGCTCGCACGCGCGATAGTCACGAGTATTGCCCTTGTTAACGCCCCGTTAACTCGAACCTCTGGACAAACTCGTAAAATTTACCGGCTTCGAAGCCGGCAACACAACCGCGCCGCCGCCGCCGCCGTTGCCGCCGCGCCGCGCGAGCGTAGTACACGGCTGCCGTTGAATTTTCGCGTGACTTTAAATCCGCCGGGAATTATGTGCTTAACGCAAACGTCCGTTTAGGGTGTCGGAATGGGAGAGCATCGGCCGTCCGCTCTCGTCCCTTGATTTTTTTTCGTCTCCCAAATCCTTGCCTTGTCTTTCTTTTTCTTTGTTCACGCGAACAAGATTTTTGTTTAGATTATTTTCTTGGTCCGTTCTCTGGAGATATTTGAGTTTTTCGCTTATTTCAATTCGAGCACTAGACAATTGTGTTTTGTGTCGTTTACGATAGTACAAGCTTCGATGTTCGAAGTTGGTTGCGCGGATTTCTGTGTGGAGAACGTGAATCCAAAGTGGAATCTTCTGATGAATGAGGATCTCCAGAGGTTTTATTTAGGAAGATATAAAGTGTCGCGTGAGATTCGTCGCGATAGGCTTGACAAATGCAAATAACTTTGAATACTAAATTCGTATGAACACATTTTTAAAAAATGTAAGCCCTCGCTATCCTATTTTAAGGCGGAGTAAATATTAAATTTTACTCCAATCGCTACATTGTTCATCACAACTTCCGTCACGTTTAGTCCTAATATTACAATCATACCACGTGTAATCGCAGTTTTACCGCATTCCAAACATTCCCAAACATTTCCAAACGAATCAGAAGAGTGTCACATTTTACTAAACGTTAGTCAAGGATCAGCAACGCGAACTTCGGAACGAAGAACCGAGAACACTTCGTAGTTCGAAGGGGTTGGACTCGATTCGTCACGATGCTCATCCGCCTGAACCGATCCCGACGCGATGCTGGACAAGCTGCGTGACCGAACACGAGAATTCCAGATACGAGTCCGATTATTTCCGACCTCAGGCTCGTATTTACGAGGACAACGTGTGAAATTACGGTAACGCGAATGCTCGTAAAGCGGACGTTTACGCACACGCGGCAGAAACCCGCGAGATAGCCGCGTCGCGTCGCTGCTTCTGTTAACACCCTGTTAACGCGAATCCCGAACAGCCTCGTAAAATTCGATGACGCCAGGTCTGCGTGCGTCCAGTCGAGCGCCGATGAAATCCGACAGGGTTATTGGGAATCGACTAAGGGGACAGTTACCGGCCACCCCCGCGTTTCCTCTCGGCGATCGTAAAGTGGAGATTTTCTGTCGTCCCAGCCAGCTCATCCCTTTACCCTTCCTCTTCTCTCCTTGTAGAACATGGTTTGACTGAAAGGGCTCTGACTTTACATTAAAAAATTAGTCATGGACGAATTAAGTACTTCTAATAGATTAAACATGAGACAACTAAATACATCTAATGGATTAAACATGGAACAACTAAGTACTTCCTTGTTAATTTCATTGGATCTCGTTTTCAAGGAAATCTAGCCAATGGGTTGGTTTACGCTAGGTTTAGGAAACTCTTCAATTTGACGAACGATGAATTTTATAAACATCGTTTAATCGTAAAAACGTGTTAAGAACACGTTTGCGTAACTCGAAACCTGATTGATGAGGTTAATGAGGAATTACTTTAGTCAAAAGAGGGAGAGGAAAATGTAGAAACATGGTTCATCTGTTTGAAATACAGGCATGCTCAATCTATGGATTACCAATAGACCAAACTAGAGCTCCAACCTTTCACTATAAACACTTATTAACAATCATTCACTATTGAATCTTAAAAATTACAAATCACCTGTTTTAAAAAAGCAAAATAAACATTCGTCACTTTCCTCATGTAGAATAATTCTTCGCGGATCATACAATCAGCGTTCAATCAAATTTCACTGCGAGTTCACGCGTGATCAACGAACAATCTCAATTTTCACCAAAAACAAAGCCTGAAACACGATTACGATCAGCCAAAGATCGAGCCGAAGTGCTTATCGGATCGATCGGTTCTCTCGTTCGCCGGTCCCACCCTCCGCGCAAGCAACCCTGCCTAACGCGCGGCACTCACCGTTGCTCGCCCCCCTTTTGTTCTATTTGTTGTACGCGCGCGTACGATACGGGCAAAGGAGGAGATCGTAAAAGCCGCGGCGCTCGCGTGATCGTTACGAATTCGTTATTGCTCTTGTTAACGCCCCTCGCTGGAAGCCTTGGACAAACCTCGTAAAATTTCAGCGGTGCGCCCCGCGTAAAGCATCGTCGAAAATGCGGCCGAACCGATCACGTGACGGATAAGGAGACCCCGGGTCCTCGGGAACGACGGCTTCGCTCCGAACACACCGCCTCTTTAACCATTTTTTTCTCTTTCTACCTCCGCGTTCGTATTTCCCTACGCCGGAATGCGTCGGGGGTAATTTTCGGGACGGCGATAAAACGTCAGCGACAACCACGATAATCGCGTTCGAATCCTAATTTTCAGCAGTTCCTGGCTGCCCCGACCGATCTGCTGTTTCGCTTTCGAAATTATCTTGCTCGCGAATCTCCGCTGATCAATGGCGCAATTATTATCGACTGAGTTGCCTACATAGTTGTCCAAAGAAGTGACAGATATTTATCTTTTGCGAAATGTTCTACGGAATTACGATAAACGGATGGGTTCATGTTGGCTGAAGATACATAGTTTCCTAAAAATCAGTAAGGATTGGTTAAATGTAAAATTAGAATAGTGACAATATTTTCAAAAGTGAAGGGAATGAAATGGAAAGGAAATACATAGAAGGGATGCAAAGTGAAATAGTATAATATTCAAAGAACTCAGAAAAATGATTCTGTTTTCCATTTCTGGATTAAGTATCACTCTCTTCCCTTCTTGAACAGCACAGCTCTGGAATGTTCCGAGACAATTGAACTCGTCAAATTTGTACGACGATACGCGAGGCCATGAAGAATGATTCGGTTGATCGTTATAAGATGGTTAACCAAGAACGCGTCTCTGATTTCAGGCACACCGATCAATCGACTGCCGATCATGGCGAAGTCTGTGCTGGATCTGTACGAGCTATACAACCTGGTGATCGCTCGGGGCGGATTGGTCGACGTAATTAACAAGAAGCTCTGGCAGGAAATCATCAAAGGCCTCCACCTGCCATCGAGCATCACTTCCGCCGCGTTCACTCTGCGCACCCAGTAAGTAGATCGTGAAGTTTCTCATCCGGGACCCTATTCGACGCTAATTCGCATACAATGAGTCTCCGCGCGCGACCGACGAAAGCTCATTTGAGCATGAAACCCGCACCGATGACTAAGAACCCTGCCTTTTCTGCTCCGCCGCTTTGCGAAGGAGCTGTCCCAAGTGCCCTTCCTTCATCGACTGCTTTCTGATGTTCTGCTTCATCGATTCTAGAGGTTGCACTCTAACAAGTAATCATCTCCGTGCAACGACAGCCGATTTTGATGAATCTTTCACAGAAAGTAGCTCTCACGAAAAAGAATTGTAATTTTCATCGGAAGATTGAATACAGTGGTCAAGGTTTAGAGAAATACAGATGACAAACATATTTATATAGTCAAACATTTTGGAAACTACTAAAGTTCGAAAGTGGCAAAATTGTGTATTCTTCAATAAAGAATCTACTAATGCAAATTTTAGAAAACTATGAATTTAGATCCTCATGAAATAATATCCCGAATAATAGTAACCTTCTGTCGAAAGAAATAAGAGAAGGAACAAAAGAATCGATCAGTTCCATAGAACAATAACTTAGCTTCTCCGGTAGGAAGTGAATCAGTGGACAGCGAACTAATGGCGGTCCGTGGATCAAAACGTTCTCACAGCTCCATTTATCCATCGACGAGAACATATGTTCACGTGTAACCATCTACCGAGTTCCGGATACACGAACCCCCTTCCCCGGACCCTATAACCACAATAAAACGACTCGGTGAGAGGCAAAAAGAAAGAGGCATAGGTGGGATCGAAACGAAACAATCGAAAGGGGGAGGACATCAAAGCTGGCTGGACGCCTTCCGGACAGCCGTTGTTTGGAGAACGCTATCATCATTATACCCGGTGGCGGCCGGGAACACCGACCCGGGATTGTTTGTGTGCTTAAGATGGCGGCTTGTATCGGGAGCGGGCGGCGTGTTCTCCGCGAAACAAAAATATACAGAGCCGGCCTGCCGCCCGCACAAAAGAACCTTCGGGCCTAGGGAGCACACAATATTAGCATTCCGCGGCCGCGGCTGGCTGCGAACACTCAGCAACCCGCGGAAAGGTGGAAAGCTTTAACACTTTGAGTACCGCGACTACCAGAAATGGGAGACGCGCCACTTTTCGCGAAGACTTTGCCCGATAAAAATGGCAGACGACCTCGTTTCTTCAAATTGAGGTCCATTTTTGTACCTATTTTTCTTGGTTAACTACATTTTTCTAATTTTAATATACACATTTTGATATATTCTCGCGGAAATGTGACAAAATCGCATCAGATTTTTTTCAAATTTTTACTTTACCATGTTTTGTATTTCGAAAGTATGCAACTTCATCTTTTAAAACTAACGAATGTATAATACTAGACAAAATTTACACTGTATTGTAATAGAAATAGGTGTTAACGCGTTGACGTTGAATCGCTTGAAAACGTTTAAGTAATTAGATGACATTGTAACGTAAGAATTATGGTACCAAATTATTAATAACAGTACTAGTGGTATTAAATATGAATCTGCTGTAACTTGTCTGCTGATGACTTGCTATTTCTACTTCTTGGAAATATCGATGCCCGTGTATGAGGGTTTCAAAGTTGGTATTAACTTATAACCTTGTATATTAACTCTCTAAATACAAAAGATAAAATTCCCTGGAGGCAGAAAATAAATAAATCTCGTAGTACGTTGATTTTCCATATTTCAATTTTCATTTCATCGTATGTACTCTCCCATGAAGGGACATTCGTCACCTGCCAAAAGTCGATTCGCATGTCGAGGGATCGAACAGAGTGTCAAAAGAAAATGTCCATTCGGCGAATTTGCGGTCGTTCAGCGGGTCTCCGCCTAGCGGAAATACTCGGAAAAATACGAGACAATTTCTCGGAATCAAACTCCTTCCCACCCCCGACAACTATTCGAACTAAAATTAACCGGAGCTTCCGGGTGCAAGCCACTGCACGCGCTCCGTTGTTTCATCTTCTTGACTGGTTCGCGAACCATGATTCTCCACGGTGGATTCTCGAAATATCATCGTGTCGTCGGGTTTGCTAATTAAACATACGCGTCCTTCCCTGAGAGGTGAATTTCATTAAAAAGAATGGAGTACAAGCAGAGAAGATGTCAATATCACCATACTGTTAAATTGTACTTTAATGTAAAATCCAGATACACATTAATATAGGACAAAGATTCAAACATTTTCCTTTCTTCAAAGCATACTGCATATAAAACCTCAAATTCAATCTAGATACCGAATAAATCAAAATGACCCATTCATATATTCCTCTTAAATAATCGCCAACATCGTCAAGTTCCTCTAGCAGAACATCGAAAAAAGGATTCGTCCAATTCTTAAATCAACTCTTACAATTTTTAGACGTTATTATATAGTCAGTTCAGTGCATTTAGCATGAAAGACGAAACACATTCTCAAGAACGCGTCGGTTAGCCGATTTCATAAGGGAACGGGCAAATATGTCGCGACTATTCTTATCAGCGTTACGATCGACGCGTTTGACAGAAATACGGAAGCCGGGCGTCCGAGTCGGACACGCGGGAAGTTAATAATGAATTTGACGTTGCCAATTTGTCAGTCGATGCTATTCCCGTCGAGGGATTCGCGACGCGTCTGCGGCCCGACACGAACAGAAGGATGAGATTAATCGAGGCCCGGAGGATTTGTCTCGCGGGAGGGACCGTTTCGCGCGAGTACATCGCCGGCCAATCGAGAGGAAAAACAAACAGGCCGGTCCCTCGCCGGTCGAGCTGTTTGCACGTGTGTGCAACAGCTGTTTTCTTTCGCGATGCGGTTTAATCGTCAGTTACGGACGATCTCGTTCGCACAGACACTCGTTGCAGTCTCGTCGAACTGAGACTGTCAACGTTTCACGTGTAAGTACACATTGGTGCACTATGTTATACAACGGAAACTCTGTTGAGTTAACGTTCAAAACATTCCTGCGGCTGAAGCGAATCGCGTGTCTCGCGATATCATTGTCGCGCGTCTTAAACTTTTGAAGTGGTAGTGCGTTAGTGAAATACATATTGAAGTTCTTTATGATGGAAGTAATAGGGTAGGATCTTCAAATTTCCTAGATTTCTATTGACAATTGAAATGAAAATTACAAGACAGGTCTGTAGATCCTTTAGATTTCTATTCGCGAGGAAAATGAAAATAACGAAATTAGCAATTCAAATCTAAATCTCTATCACCAAACAATTAAAAGTAACACAAATATTTTTTCAAATCTTTTCAATTTCTATCCTCAAACACTTGAAAATAACAAAATTATTCCTTTAAATCTTTTCAATTTCCATTCTCAAACAATTAAAAATAACAAGTTCTAAATTTCTACTCGCAAACAAAACAAAAACGATACTATAGGTTCTTCAAATTTTTCAACTTTCTGTCCCGAAGCAAACTGAAAATAACGATATACCAGTAACCAGAAGAAGCAAAAGAACCCATGAAAGATGTGGTAACGAAAGTTAGTTGCGCGATTGATCGAAACTGAACGAGCCGTGCTATGCGTATCGCAACACGTCGATGCCACCCAGTGCTTTCTTCCTCGTCTGTTTCGAAATATGGGCCTGACGGTGGATTACATGTGAAAATAAGCCCGCGACGCGGCCGACGCGTAACGCGCGACAGAACGTCGGGACGCCGGGCGCATCCATCATTCCGGCAACCGGTTATCTCGCGGCGCGCAACGTGGGACAGGGACAGACGGAGGAAACGAGAATGTAAAAGGAGACGGGAAGAGCTACGACTATATCGAGCCACGCGCCTCCGCCGTGTAATTATTTATACGTTCGCCAAGTTCGCCGGGGAAGGGATGATGACCGTTTCGCTGAAGGATCGCCGGCGCGGTGCTTCCGACGAATTTTTGATTAGCTTCGAAGGAATCATTCCTAACAGTGGTTCGTTGGAACGAAGAACATGGGGGAGTCGAATGGTTTTGGCAATCCCCGACAGTTATCGCCTCGTACATTTGTGATTGAGACATCGCTGACTGGATGGAACAATAATGTTCTCTGTCCTGTAACAGAGATGCGATAATTTTTCTATGAGTCGTGTTGTCACAAATACGATGAATGAATTATATGAATCAACTGATTCTATTATAGGAATTAGAATTATACTCAGAAGCAGCAGTGTATTAAAATTACGGAAACACATTGATTTGGACAGGGTATCTCCTAGTAATCGACGAAGTTAAGTTAATATTAGGTTCCAAGTGAAACTTGAACAAGTTAGAAGGTAAAATAAAACGAAATAATGAATCCTTTCAACTGCTCTATCATTTTTATTTTAGTATCTTTATTTACGTCTTCATGTAGGTTATTAAATACTTCCAAACATTTCCTAAATATCCATTCAAGCAATATTCGGTTCCTTCAAGAATACCTAGTCGAAGTTATATCCAAAACTCCTGAAAACTAATGAAGAAACCATTTTTTCTAACACAAGTTAAACTGAAACTTCAACAAAATGATCGTGAAAATCATCCTGTACGTCCAAACCAGCCACGTTTATCATCTCCGAACGTCTCGACAGGCTCGTTCGGTTCATGGCAGCGCGAATTTGATTATCACCCAGAAAAGGAGATTTATGCCTATGGCCGTGGACGCACACCTGGACAAAGGGCTTCTCGCGTGCACACGCTTCGAAGTGGCCGGGCCCCGAAATTATGCGGCGTCTTCGTCGAACACGCGCGAGACAACGAGACGGCTCGTCGCGGAGCGACGGAAGAAAAGGGACCGACTGGGCCGAAGGGTTAGTTTCGGCCGCGGTCTGCCAGACAATCGTAAAAGCTGAATGATCCCTGCGCGAATTATAGGCCGCGGGTTCCACACCGGGAATATGTCTATTCGTGGATGTGTGTGCGAGCCATCACGGCCTCTTCGCTTCCCTAACCCTTATCCGAACGCTTCTTCTGTTCTCTGACGATGGCACGTCGTCGGAACATTACGATATTCGCAAATCTCACCCCTGTACCCTTATTTCCACGAATTTAATCTCTTAACGCTAGATTTACGGATATTTGTTGTACAGTTTATTCTATTGTTCCTAGAAAGATTGATGTTCGTTCACGTAGATCTTGGAAATTAGAGGTTTAAACGTAGACAATTGGCATTAAAATATTCGTCAAATAATGTTTATAAAACTCAATATGAGTCGAATTGGTTCGTTCCGTAAGTTTAGTGTTAACCCTTTAGTTCTCTGTGACATTGCCTTGAAATCATATATTTCAATGTTGATTAAATTCGAACCTAGTCATGAAATCCAACGGTGTAAAGCGATATCATAATACCCACCAATTTTCTTGACAGACATTTTTTATACAAATACTTATTTCTGTTAAAAATGGCAAGTTGGTTAACGTGTATTGTGAAAATAAGCTTATTTTAGCTGATAGTTTTTATAATTTTTTATAGCCTCGACTGTCATGGCAATGTTAAGTGTCTATACTTAGTTACAAATGTAAAAAATATTAAAATTATTAGTTATCCTTCGGTAATGAAGGTAAATATAGAGAATTAATTAATTGTATTTGTATTTATTAGAATTGTTGGGTTGAGCTAAGCTAGATGATAATTATAGTTAGATAATAACCTAGTCTTTTTAGCGTCACTTAGTTACTTCAGTGTGCTATTCTAATTTTTGAACATTTTTGTTGAACATTAGTTCGTTTCCCAGTATTTAAGAGTCCGACACATAAAAGCTTCCTCCGTTGAAAGCTTCGAATACGGAATAGGCGGAGAGAACACGCGAACGATACACAAAGTTAATACAATTTTTGAGGAAATAACAGACGACAGGCTGTTCGAAATAAATGAAACTCGTCGCGGTGCACGTTCGAAACGGTGAGAATGCATTTCAATTCGAAGCAGTCCTGCAGATTCGAAGCACGGAGAACGTGAGCGCTCGGAATTCGTTCCTGAGCTTAACATTTCATTTCAGGATTTCATTTCGGTCGGCTTAGCTCCGAACGCGAACGGCTTATCGGCACGCGAAAATGTAAACTGACTCTGCGGAAAATGTGAACGGAAAATCGATTTCCAATAAGGGCAGACAATTTTAAATTAACGAGCTCGTGTGTTAAATAAATACATTCGAACAACAAACAAGTGGATATATTTGTATTTTACGTAAGATTATTTTTTGAAAGGACAAGGCTTGCAATTTCGTCAGCCGAAATGCCTCGTAAGCTAGAATTCAAATGGCTACCAGTGAAAGCTAACCGATGTCCTGCCTCGGAACAGTAAGAAAGCAGGCGACAAATCGAGAATTCATTTTGGTCTTTACGTTCAACCAATATTCCTTTAGAAAGCGTGAAATAACGACACGACGGATTAGCCGCTTTCTATGCAATCAAAGAGGCTGCGCGTTACTGTTTGTCGCGCGACGCGTTGCGTAACACCATTTGATACCACTGTTGAAACACTGTGAACCGCATCATCGTGATGCACTTGTGGAATTGCTTATGACATACTCATAACACACCGTGCATTAGCAATTATATTATATTACATCATATTACATTATATTATACCAATACCCAAATTAATCCTTTGCACCCGAGAAGCGCCTTTCAGTCGCTATTTGACTTGTCCCAGTAGAATGATAAACATTCCAATTGAATATCAAATTAATATCTATAATGAAACAATTTCGTAATTCCATCTTACCCGAGTCTAATCAAAGATCCTTCCAACAAAGGTCCCAAGCTATTCTCAGATTCGAGCGTTGTTGCTATTATCTTATTATCACTTTCTTTTTGCATTAAGAGGATTTTCCTTTCCTTCCTCTTTATACTAAATTTATGATAACAAGTAATGTGCATTTCCATGCTAACTTACAACGTGCAAAATTAATACTTACGTTCCTTTGAAACGTCAACGTATTGACAATTATTCTAAGTGATCTTACACGTTTTCATAAGAAATAGCATTAAACAATGTTACTTAGTGGATAACCAAATAGGACAGTCTTTTAATGAGATTTTCAATTTGACCTGTTCCAGATATATGAAATACCTGTATCCGTACGAGTGTGAGAAGAGACGACTGTCAACACCAGCCGAGCTGCAGGCTGCGATCGACGGAAATCGTCGAGAGGGTCGACGCAGCAGTTATGGTGCATACGGGGGTGGTGGAGGCGGGAACGACAGTTTGGTGCAGCGAAATCCACACCCGTCGAATTCGCTTGCGTTGCACGCTCAAATGTCGCCGCTGTCGTTGGTGACCGCGGTGGCAGCCGGCGGTCAACACCACGGACCACAGTCACTGGTGAACGGAAGCGCGGCGCACACGCCACTGCCGCATCATCCGCACCACCCGCAGCATCCTCAAGGACCACTGGGACAGCCGCCGAATGCCGGTTAGTCGAAAATTTATAGACCAAAATTTAAAACGAATTCCGTCATTTTCGTCTAATTTGATTGATTAATCGATTAAGATTCGTTTGATAACTGCGAGTTCTCGAGGTTCTTAAGCATTGCAACTTTAGGTGTAATCAAAAGTCGCTAATGCTGTATTCCTACCATATTATGTCGCTAACCTTTTATTATAATAAAAGTGTATGCTCTATAGAAGGCCTCATGATATTATATCATGAGCATTACAATTAAGATGTTACCGACACTCGCAATAAAATAAAAGACTGGTTAGCCAATCTAAGAACGTTACAAAGAACACCAAAATACAAGTCGATTAAGTAAATAACGTCTTCGTTCGGTTGTTTTGCGAAATTCTTCGTGAGCCATCAACCCCCGTATTCTAGAAATCGTCTAAAACCTTACTCAGTTTCATACTATGAGATGAACGAGATACCGGACTTCAAATACACGTGACATCCGTCGATGAATGATCCTCATCTTCAAAGAAACGATCGCACGCTAATTTCCTAGCCGGAAGCGGACGAAGGAGCAAAGCGAAAAAGCCGGAAACGGTGTAATCCGGTCGGCTCATGATAGTTTGGTCCGGGACGAAAAGTCAACGAAGAGTAGACAGGCCGAAAGGGGGGAGGCTTCGCGCAGGGAGCAGGGAGGCGGGTTTATTTTAAATCGGTAGTTAGGGTTCCAGGCCTCCCCGAAGATGATGATGCGAGAGCGAAGGAGGCGTAATTGATTGTACGATCCTCTGGGAGACAGGCGTTAACGGATGACTCTCGCTAACGAGCATTCCTACTTCCCTACCCCTTTCTTCCTCCTTCTCGCCCCCGCCAGGCAACAGCCTTTCCACCCCGTTTCACCACCCTCCCCGTCGGTTGTGCCCAGCGCTCGACCAATTTCAATCGGTCCGCTCGTCGCCGAGCGCCGCCCCCTTGGATCTGCGTTTGCGTCGAACACCCTCGCCACCCTCGATACTCCTTTTCCAATGGGACGCATTCGACATTCACGCGAACAACCCCCTTTCACCACGGTAGCTTATGTTCCTGAAAACGTTACAGGAGTTATTAGGTTGTTCCATACGTTTCTCGCGCTTTGTCTGCAATGCTTAGTCTGGTGGAAGTTTTGAGAAAGGATTATGTAGCTTCAGGGGAAATAGGGGATGGTAATGGATCAGAACGGGCTGTTTTTGTTGTGCAAATGGATAGCGTGTAAAAATGATACACGAAATTAGTGTGCAATTTAGGCAGCAATTTAGACGTTCATCTAATTAGGAGCTAGAAGTGTATTAGATAAACAGAAAGAACCTTTGAGAGTTTAACACTGGAAGTCATCTAACAGAAGAACAATTCCTTTTCTTTAACACTGTTCGTTTTAGCAATAGCCTCCGCAGCTGAGATACTTGATCAAATACAAGAATGTATCAAGCGGATCTATTTGATTTCTCGTGCATTGCAAAATCTGTAAATACGGTGACGCTGCTAACGAACGCTTCAAACGACTGTCATCTTTATTCGCGTTCTCCGCTGTTGCGAAAAAATCCATTATTCCTGGTTGTTTGCTCCTTCTTAAGAGACGTTTCGTAACGTAAATCGAAGCGTTTTTATAAAACTCTTTTCAGCAACCAAATTCTTCTTTATACTCGATATACATTGTCAGTTCACTCTCAGCCCACTCAAAATTCTTTCCTTGACCATCGTCTTCGATGAACGAAGCTAGAACGATATCAAACCAAGATCAGACTGGGATTCATAGCGTGAACGCGTGCATTATGGACAACTGAAGAATATGTAATCGATAGTGTGCATCGCGTCTCTATCCGAATTACTCCGTAATTTGAAAAATTGAACATCGACCAACGGTCGATGGAACAGATTGCCAGTGAAAACGTGTTCTATCCTCCCACCTCGGTCGAAGTCAAAGCCGCGTTTAGATGGACGGTGGCGAGGCCGCGGTTCGAATGGCTCATTTGTCGAGCCGTCCAAACGGTAGTTTCATCCGGGACTGTCGGACAGATGTTCCTCCTTCTGGATACTCTGCCCTCCTCTCTCGCGGTTTCCACCGCGTCCCCCTTATCTCAGTGGCGCGGTGCGACGCCAATCAGCGCGGCCCCGTCCCCGTTTTAATTTAGCACTCCCGTGGATGTCCGTTTCGAGACGCGTCGCGACGTCTAGCCGCGCGATTGACGTGAACCGCCGTTTGATCGATCGTGCCCCTACGACACACGTTACTCCTCGGCGCGACTCCGCCACGGTGGCTGGTTTCGGAGTATCTCGATCGTTCCTGGCGCGCAATTATTAATGACTGTCCGCCAGCACAGTTAATGGAGGCTCTAATCGTTATCGATCGCAGGTCCTATTCCCGGAATGGCGCCATCCGAATTCGAGGCGCGAATGGTGGAGTACGTGAAGCTGCTGAACAAGGAGCTGAGGAGCGCGGGCGCTGGCACACCGCCACCGATGATCCATCGGCAAGGCAGCACCACGCCGCCATCCTCCACACCGCCCAGGGATGGGGCGTTCAGCGCACTGGAGATGTCACGGCTCACCCTTTGGAACATGTACAACAACAACACCCTATATCCGGGTGTCGGCCACCAACCGCCCCTCTCGCCGCAGGCCTCGCACTCGCCGGTACCACAGGCAAGCAGCCCTGAACCTCAGAGGGAAGCTCTCGACCTTGGGCTTAGGTAAGGACAACTTACCCTCAATCATTTTAAGGACTGTAACTTTGCAACGCTATTGTCTTCGTTTAAGAAGAAAGGAAAATTATATTTGGTTATTGGTAACGGTGTGGCCTTAGGTCTAGTTCAGGTTAGAACAGCTAAGTTCACTTTCCCGAAGCTTGTAAAAGCAGTGGAAAAGTGAGCGATTCGTGGTTGATTAAAATGAAACATCCTGCAATTAGATGTCCCTGCGCAAAGACGCATCTGTGACAATCTGTCACTGACAATTAAACGGTATTTCAGGTCGTCGCCTGTGTCCTCGTCGCCGGCAAGACAAAGTTCACCCTCCTCGGGCGGAAGCCTACAAGTAAAGAGGGATCCGGACATAGTCGGCACACCTGGGCCAACACCAGCGAAGAGGCTACTGTCGGATGATGACAGCCCAGTTGAAAAGAACTTACCAGCCACCCTGGGCACGCACATTAAAATTTCAAATCGAGGTACAGAATACTTCTACTTTCATTTGTGGGTTCTGTGGTGGTTGAGAAGGTTGTTGGGGTATGTCTGCTGATGAGGAATGGAATCGTAGAAGGGGTAGGGAAGAGTGAGAAGAGTGGGAGAACAGACTCTTTCTTGCTTTTTCACTAACGATAATTGAACTTTTTATTCGCAGGAGACGGGAGGAACGGTGACAATTCCCTGGTGGTTAGTATGGAATTGAACGGAGTGATGTACCAAGGTGTCCTGTTCGCCCAGACGGACAGCAGAACCGGGAGCAGCACGGCAAGCAACAACAACACGACGAAATCGTCGCGGAGCGTAGTCTCGTGAACGACGAGCGGCGAAACCATAAAGTGCAGCTCACGATGCCCTTTGGACACACAATCAACAGATCGCAGCTATTCATTTATAATTCGACGATGATCGTGATCGGTCCATGAGGCGGACGAAGCGCGAACGTTTATTCGCCGATCATTATTCGCAATTGTACAAAAATGTCTCAGATGCGCAGTACTGCTTTTACGAGTAGTCTCGGATTCGTTTTTTCTTAGAAGGAAGTTGTTCCTTTCAAAAGATGTCACTTTCATTCAGATACGAGAGGTCTTAACCAGGCAACGCTCAGGAGATCGTTTCAATTTTATTTTCGCTTTGCCGCGTTGTATCGAGAACATCAATTCGTGTTTAAGTTTCTCTCAATCGGTGCGAAAACCGACAAGACACTTCAGGTTTCCTTCGGTATGGTTTCGAATACAGTTGATATTGTGATACTAGTTTGCGGCTGATCACCTGTGCTGGCCCGATTTCACATTTCCTGTTTCCGAAACGGGAGCCGCGCGTGTATGCGTCAGGCACGATTATTCATTCTTCCTTTGGCGACGACGATACCGGATGAACGAAGAAACTCACATGCGGGTGAAGAATTTCTTCATCCGCGATCCAAGAGCGATTTCCCATTGCTAGACCATCGAACGACCCTGCGCTGCGATGAAAAATCGAAACGATCCGCGCGTCCTGGTAGGCTGTCCTGCTTCGACGACTAATTCGATCGTTACATCGTATGAATAGTGATGTACGTGTGATTCTGAACGTGTGCAATGAAGGAAAAGATGTCCCTTGCTTCTCATCTTTTTAATCGTGACGATTCTCAAAGTCTTGCATTCCTTTCACTCAAGCGACTTTCCAGCAGCGCAACCCGTTTAGGAATTTGATGTTTGCACATCATTTATTAAAAATAATATGACAAACGAAACGAGTGAAGAAAGGAAGAAAGGCGAAAGAGACAATGAGCGAGTGAGAGACAAATGGATACAGGAAGCGTTCGGCCGAATCGAAGCGACGTTTTTTCTCGCGAGTAACGAACTTAC